TGCAAATAATTATGGATATATATAAATATATATTCTGAAAATTATGTGGTTTCGCGCTTGAGGGGTGACGAGGTCAAGTAGCACCCCTTGTTCCACAATCTCTAGACATTTACAGCTACTTAATGTCATGGTAATTAAAAAAAAACCTCCTGTATCGCCCTGATGCAACCTGCGGCTTTACATGATGTTCAGCATTGTGCAACAAACAGAACCAAAAAAAATGGAATACATGTATCTTTTTGTTAAGACCTGAACGTTAAATTTAGATAATGCTTACACTTACTTATGCCTACAAATCGAACATCTTGAGGTTCAGTGATGACAGTGAGATATGAAATGTAAGACTAGTCTTGTGGATGTAGATTCAATTATGCAATATGAAATGAAAGCATGTATTACAGTAACAAAACAACATTTTACAGAGTTTGCCCCCAACCCTGTTATGTCAAATCGTTCATGAACCGTGTTGAGTTACTGGTGAGCCCATGAAGTGAGCATGTTAATCTGACGCCATTTATGAGTTAACCGAGCAAACGTATGTGCCCAATGTACAACCGTGTTCTGTCCAAATGTTCTGTCCATGTATGTTGCTCAAATTTGTTGTCAGAGCAATTGTCCAAATGTGTAGTTTGTTTTTTTTTTAATGTGTTGGCCCGAAGTGTTTTTGTTTAATCGTGTTGACTGACAGTTCTTGTCCCTCTTTGTCCAGGAATGAATGCTAACCTATAAAGAGAACACTTTGAGATAAGTCTACTATTTTCTTTTAAAATCTAGCCGCCTTGGCTTTAAAACTTGCACGACGACGTTATCTCAGGACGCTTTTAATTTGATTCATTTTTACATCCCTCGTGTTCTCAAAATGGTGATTGAAAAGGGGGGGGGGGGCGATAAATAGAAAACGAAAAAATGAAGATTCATTGGACCAAATTACAATACTAAATAGGGTGTTGGATATTTAAATAATTGAGAAAAAGATAATCTGAGGAGAAATCTCGTGAATTTTAGACCCCGTAAAATTATGATATTATGGGAATCCATGATAATAAAATGATAGTGACGTAAAGATCTATAGATAAGTCTTGGCCAACCTGGTCCCTCGACCAGTTCTGGATTATTTCTCGTACAGGTGATGCGTCTTCTTGACTTTCTATTTGATAAACATTTTTTTTTCAAAATTCTGATTTAGAGACGAAAGAATTTAAGAAATGAATTTTAAAAATGACCAGGGAACACTGTGTGTTGAACAGAGTGGTCGTAAAAATGTGTACGCTTTATGGTTCTGTCTTTTCTTGGCAGGCCTAAACATATCATGTTCCACTATTATTTGCTCTGAATTTGTATCCTTAACGCTTCGAGTGTTCTTCCGTGAATGACGTCACTTTATATTGGCTGAATTTTGACCACCCCCCTCCCCCCAACCAAATCGTCATTAATTTGTTACAAAATGTTTACACCCTAAATACAAATCGTCACAAATTTTTTGACACATCCCTCCCTCTTTTTTTTTGGATAAATGACGTCATGTATAGAATGTCTCCTTTATGTTCATCTATGAAGATTTTGTTTAAAGTAATTTTCCTGAAACAGTTCAAATTTTTTTTAGCCAGAAAACACTCGACTCCTATCAACGTTTGCCGTGATTACGTCACTTTTAATTTTTTGTTCCCGAGAGGCATTTTTCAATAAAATATCCTTCCTAAATCTACTATTTCCAAATTATGTCGTTTCGTTATTTGTTGTTATCTACTTTGTACCTTTATCGCTGTATCGTTATAATAATATTATCAATGTTTTCCCCTTTCTTCAGCAATATACCTTAGCATCTTTCAATTGGTGGGTCATATTCATGTAGAAAATCAACAGGATTTGAACTTTCTTCTATCCGCTCCACAGATTCCAAAAAATAAAACAAAAACATACCAAGATGAAATTTTCCTCACTGCTCCTCCTCGCCCTGACGGTGGTCTGCACAGTCCACGCCGCCCCGACCAAACGCCTCCTCTTCGCGGACAACCTCAACACCCTCATCCACGACGTGGTCAACGCCATCGGGGACAGCATCGACACCACCGCCAACCTCCTGGGACAGGCCGCCACCAACGTCGGGAACGTCCTCGGGCTGGGGACCGTGACCAACACGCTGACCGGACTGGTCGACTCCGTGGTGGACAAGACCACGGACATCGTCGGGGGCGCCGTGAACCAGTTCGCCGACGTGGTGAAGAGCGGACTGGACGGCGCCACCCTGGGCCTTGGGAATGTGGTCTTGAGTTTGGCCAACTTAACTCCCAATAGTTAAATACAGCGCCCCCACTTGTACGCGCCTGTGTGTTGTGACATAGAGGACGACGAAAACAGTGTATGTTGTTTCGTTGTCACGGGTGCATATAAAACATGTAAAACAAATGCATGAGTTTGGTTGTTATTGAGTTTGTGAGCATGCTAAAATATCATGGCTACAAGAACTATAAAATTATTCGATTAAAAAATTATAATGAGAAACCATTATGACTCATAAAAGAATGAGAACAAACATCAAAGAAATATTGTATGTGGCGTAGGAAGGTGCATGGGCAGAGGGGGGGGGGTACTTCCGGGTATGGCCCTTTTTAAAACTTTATTTGAGGGGGTGAATGTTTTGTCCAAGTGAAGAGATCTTTCCGCGGGAAGGGGTGTGGGGAAAATCTTCTTCCCACCCTGGCGGCACGAACCCTAGCTTCGCCAAAGAATAGTGCTCTAGTTGGCACTGAATAGAAATGAAAGATAATCACAATGACTGTATTCATTGATTCAATCGCTACAGAAAGATCGACTAATTTAAACAATTATTTGTGGGTTGATGGCCAGGGGCTTGAATAGAGCACTTGCGATAAGTGGCTTTGTGCTTAAGCGATGCTTTGACTTGGTGCTTTTTTTTTTAAATACTGGAAACATCGGACAATGGAGATTGGTAATTTTTTTTTTTAAAAAACGTATGAGCCTGGGTAGAAAGAAAATTGGATTTGTGGTTTAAAAAAAAAAAAAAAAAAATGGGGGAGTTGTTGCATCATAATTTATTGCCTTTCCTGCATTTCCAGTATTATTATTAAGTGGTCTCTTATAGCGCGGTACCAAAGCCTAGGGCTGTGCTCGCAGCGATGCACATAAAACTATTGGCAAACATAAGCGTGCCATTTAAACAAATGTACGTAAATTTATTTAATTTAAAAAAAAAAAAACAGATGTATAAAAACAACAACAACAACAAAAATAGTATATTCACCAAGCCCACCCTTTAGATGTCAAGCCATGGACGGCACCCAGCAGCAGCGTTTACTGGTCGGAGGTGTTGGGAATCAGTCGGGATAGAAGAGTTTGAAGAAATGTGTCGTGTGTGCAGTTTTGAAGACCCGGATAGTCGGTGTATTGCGGGTATGTAGTGGGAGAGAATCCCATTGTTGGGGGCACAGAAAGAGAAAGATAGTTCACCGTATGTTTTAATGCGTGTCTTGGGGGGCAAAGAATATTTTAATTGCAAAACTGATAAAAATAATATATATATATATTATTTTAATTGCAAAACTGATAAAAATAATATATATATATATATATATATATATATATATATATATATANTATATATATATATATATATATATATATATATATATATTATGTAGACCTACTAAATTATATTTGTTATTTATTTGCATGTAATGAAACTAGGCATTGTCACATTCTTGTTATTAACCAAATGAAATAGGCTAGTTGGTATCAAGTTTACGAATATTGTTTAAACAGCATCACGCCCTTAACTTATGTTCATAACTGGTGCGGTTTATGGTTTATACATTAACGCTTGAACCCGCCACGCTTACCTTCCTTCCCCCCTCCCCCATGAAATCTTTTTAAGCGCTAAGGGTATCTGTATTATGAGTGGTTGCTCCATGAGTGAAGTAGCGGCTTCACTTTGTTGATGTTTAAGTGACATGGGCGTCACCTGGATTGTCGGAAACCTTGGAGGGAGTAATGTTGCACGGACTGGTAGTTTCTGAGTTGGAGTCTGACGGTATGACACTACAAAAATCAAGGGTTGGGGGGATGGGGGGGGGGTTGCGATGGCTGGGCACAAGGGTGGGGCGTGAGGTTAAGGCATGAGGTTGAGGTTAAGGCATGAGGTTGATGTTAATGCGTGAGGTTGAGGTTAAGGCCTGCGGTTGAGGTTAATGCATGAGGTTGAGGTAAAGGCCTGAGGTTGAGGTTAATGCATGAGGTTGAGGTTAAGGCATGAGGTTGAGGTTAATGCATGAGGTTGAGGTTAAGGCCTGAGGTTGAGGTTAATGCATGAGGTTGAGGTTAAGGCCTGAGGTTGAGGTTAAGGCCTGAGGTTGAGGTTAAGGCCTGAGGTTGAGGTTATGGCATGAGGTTGAGGTTAAGGCATGAGGTTGAGGTAAAGGCCTGAGGTTGAGGTTAAGGCTTGAGGTTAAGGTTATGGCATGAGGTTGAGGTTAAGGCATGAGGTTGAGGTTCAAGCATGAGGTTGAGGTAAAGGCCTGAGGTTGAGCTTAAGGCATAAGGTTGAGGTTTAGGCATAAGGTTGAGGTTTAGGCATAAGGTTGAGGTTTAGGCAATAGGTTGAGGTTTAGGCATGAGGTTGAGGTTAAGGCAACTGGTTGAGGTAAACTTTATTCATCAGACTAGGGAGTAAACTTTATTCATCAGCCTATGCAGTAAACTTTATTCATCAGCCCATGGAGTAAACTTTATTCGCCAGACTATGGAGTAAACTTTATTCGCCAGACTATGGAGTAAACTTTATTCACCATCCTATGGAGTAAACTAAATTCATCAGACTATATAGTAAACTAAATTCATCAAACTTTTTTGTTGGTATGTATTTACATATGTCTAGGGGTGTGTACTTATAGTTGTGGCTTTACTTCCCATAACCTTTCAGAAAAGGTGAAAGCAAATGCCCCATTTCGGTTTTAATGTGGTGACACCTTAGCTAAGCCTAAAAGGATAGGTAAAATCACGTGGTTTGAGGGAAAGGGGCAGGTGGGGGTGAAAGGTAACACACCGTGACAGGTCAATTACTCATTGTCCTGAATGTCACGTTAGGGCCCTGTGTAGATATATGCGTCCTGAAACAATGGGCCTCAAGGTTTGCTGGCCGTCGACCATCTTTGTGAGACTTCAGTTTCTCGTTTAGTGCACACTGTAGTGTTGTTGTGGCTTAAAATTTATAGTTTCATTAATCATTTTTAGCTCAGTGATTATGACTGTAAGTTTAGTTGACTGATTAGGAGCTGTAGTTTAGTTAACCATTTGTAGCTCGTTGATTATGACTTTAAGTTTAGTTGACTGATTAGGAGCTGTAGTTTAGTGAATCATTCGTAGCAATGTGATTAATATTTCCTAATGTTTATTAAATCATTTTTAGTTAAGTGTTTAGGAGCCGGATGCTTAGCTGAGAGCTAGTTGTGTTTGTTTGTTTTTTTGAGTTAAGGAGTTCAGCGCTTATAAAGGTTGTACGTAATGAGTTTGCTAGAGTTTGAATTTTATAATTGATTCTTGGATGCGCAGCTTTCGAGACGCAACCGATTCCGTTGTTTACAGCAATCAAACTACTATCTTTTGTGGTTTTTTTATATTAGTGGCGTTAACGTAATAGCTGGCATGGATAGAATAAAATGTAATGATGTTATATGCTAATCAGCTTCTTGTACGCTAATCAACTTCAGTGTGGTGTGATGTAGTTTTGAATTAATCCCTTCGTAGATAATCTTAACATTTCAAGGCAGCATGTAGTGTTGTGTCATGTAACAGGCGTGTCATGAGAGCAAACACTTGTGTGTGTTAGTTTTGCTGATGGGTTTTGAATAATACACAATTTATTTTAAAAGCAATAAACATTTAATCATATACTTTTATGTAGACAGGACACAGCCTGCCACTTAGCCTCCCAAAAACTGTCACTTAGCCTGTGCCATAGCCTTTCACATAGCGTGTGAACAGCGTGGTTTCAGCTCCATCTGCAATACTGACGACATTTCACTGTAGAGACTAAGACTATCCACTCCAAGGCGAAGGTCATCCTTCTCGGATGGTACAATCTCTGCTTTGAGTCCTGTATGTTTATTGGAATATGGCTTCCCTGGTGTCAAGCTTGTAACTATGAGTGCTCGCAACAGCTGACCTATTGAATTCCAATGAAAATTTTTCAGCGGTTAGTGTTGTGAACCGGAAGCATACAATTCGAGGGGTCATGTTTTTATTTATATTTGTGCTCAGTCACCCATGTCCTAGGGATGTCAGCAGAAACATTCCCCACGGGGGACAAGCCAACCTTGCCCTCCTCCCACACACACAAGTCCTCCCAAGTGTGGTCATGCGTGTCACTACCACTAGCTGTGGCCAGCGTTGAAATAACGTCACGCATGACGGGGCTAAAGGTCAAATCGTTGGATTTCATCGGCCCGAGTTAAACAGTCAAGTCAAGAAAATGAAAAGTATGGCGTGTATTATTGTGACTCTTTGGCTCTTCACCACTACGTCTGTGTTGGAGATCTCAGCGGCGTCAGATGGATACAACTACAGTCAAGGTGAGTACTGCACTCCCCCCTTATACGAATAAAAAAGTCTGCAGTTGGCAGGAAATTCCACCCCTCCATATAAGGAAACACAGTGCCGCCTGTATCGCCTCTGCCTACGTCATTGTGAATAATATCAATGTTATGATTTTGTTTCAAATTTGAAGTTTCCATAGGTATATTTACACATATATATTTCCATACATATGTATTTCCTAATATTTCTTAATTACATTCATCACCCCGATGCCGTGTGACGTCAAAGTGGTGTCATAGTATTTCAAGAGAGCATTTATTTAACTTGACCTGGTTTATGAATCAACATCTTGTGATGAGCGTGTTTGGGAGTGGGTTTTTTTTGTTTGTGAAGTTTGTTTGTGAAGTTTGTTTGTGAAGTTTGTTTGTGAAGTTTGTTGTGAAGTTTGTTGTAAAGTTTGTTTGTGAAGTTTGTTTGTGAAGTTTGTTTGTGAAGTTTGTTTGTGAAGTTTGTTGTGAATTTTGTTGTAAAGTTTGTTGTAAAGTTTGTTTGTGAAGTTTGTTTGTGAAGTTTGTTTGTGAAGTTTGTTGTGAAGTTTGTTGTAAAGTTTGTTGTGAAGTTTGTTTGTGAAGTTTTTTTGTGAAGTTTGTTTGTGAAGTTTGTTTGTGAAGTTTGTTTTTGAAGTTTGTTTGTGAAATGTGTTGTGAAGTTTGTTTGTGAAGTTTGTTTGTGAAGTTTTCTGTGAAGTTTGTTGTGAAGTTTGTTTTAAATTTTGTTTTGAAGTTTGTTTTGATGTTTGTTGTGATTTTTTATTGTGAAGTTTTTTGTTAATTTTGTTGTGAAGTTTGTTTGTGAAGTTTGTTTGTGAAGTTTGTTGTGAAGTTTGATTGAATTTTGTTGTGAAGTTTCTTGTGAAGCTTGTTGTGAAGCTTATTGTTAATTTTGTTATGACGTTTGTTGTAAAGTTTGTTGTGATGTTTTTGTGAAGTGTGTTTGTGAAGTTTGTCCTTGTATGCTTGGAGTGTCTGTAGTTGTTTTTTGTTTGTTTAGTGTTTGTTGTAAATTTAAAAAAAAAAAAAAATTTTTTTTAAGTTGATTATTTGATCAAAACATTCTAAAGTTTTTAAAAAAAAAAAAAAAAAAAAAAAAATTGAGAAGATTTTGAATGTATTGTAGCAGTGATAGTGTTGTGTTTATGCAGTCACGGTTTTCCAGCTGTCTTGTCAGTTTTAGCGGAGACATCCTCCTATTAAAGTATAGAGAGATTTACTCAGCATTAAAATGACATTAAAACGGATTGCTAAAATTGCAAAATTTAATAAATATAACAAACTTTACTCAATAAAAATAGCCCCGCAGCCCCCCGGGGCCACCTCGTTCTCTTATCTTTGAATACACGAACGTGTGAAATAATGAAAATATATTAACGGACAGCTAAGCTTGAAGTGAATTCCATTAATATTTTTTTTTCAATTATTTTTTGTTTGTTCTTGATTCAGCTTTATAACTTTAATGTACGAAGAGAAAAAAAGATGAAGCCACCATCATTGATTGGTAGCAAGCAACACGTCATACCCACTTATTAAAATGTATTTCTTATCTTATTACTTATGAATGCCATGGAACAGATATTCGCGTAAACACGGCAAACTTAGTATAGACAATAGACGTTTGTGTTCCTGTCTGGTACATGTCACATTGTAAGATACGTGCTCGCTTGAAGCAATCAAACCTTACTGTTCTAAATTTGAGGCCTGTGTTTAAAAGAAGATGTCATTTGCACACACAATTTCGTACCGTCACATCAATAGGGCGATTCAATTCAAGTTTCCCTTTATGCATGGATAAGGTGAACTTGAGACGTGGGGACAGGTACATCCGACGTCCCCCCCCCCCCCCCCCCCCCCCCCCCACCCCACCCCACCCCCACTACATTTTTTTTTTTTTTTTTACATACACAGACACACGCTGAGATTTTTTTTTTTTTTTTTTTGTTAATTACAAACACGATGTCACCTTTGACACTCAGTGTTGAATGACCCGAATCCTAACTCATAGTGTTGTTATTTCCAGTGTTGAGCACGTTCTGTCACAGTAGCAGCATCAAACACACGATCACTGCCACTGGTCAGCTCAAGACAACGGTGGTCAGTTTTGTACAGGGCCAGGCAGATCTGGACACAACAGAGCCGGAAACTAAGTGAGCCGCCATCATGTGTTGTCATAGTTCAATGAACGTTTTTTTTAAATTATTTTTTTTATTGCTTTCAATCGGCGATCTTTAAACTATTTGGTGAATGGTTTTATCAAACACTATGCTGGTAAAACATAATATACTAAAGATAGATTATAACCCAAAGTACATCAGAAAGACAAGTCACATAAAAACAGATACACATGAAACCAAAATTTAAACTCATTGAACAAATCCTGAACATTACTTCCCCATTCAAAAAACAGGAAAAACGGATTTTTGGGGTTTGGGGGTGGGGCTGAAGATTTGAAGGAATGTGTTGTCGTCGGCAAAAAGTATTTGCGCCCAATGTTCAGCTCCATAAGATGACGGAAAGTGGGTCAATAAGCTTGTCCTTGAAAATAATTAGTAGATAATGATTTTTGATGGTGGCGGTAAAAAATTTGATGGAATGTGTTGTCATTAACATCTATAGCTTCCAAGTTTCAGCTCGATGGGAGGACGGAAAGTAGTTCAATAAGAGTTCCAATGATTTTTTTTTCCCCAACACTCAAAAAGAAAGAAAGAAATACAAGAACAAAAGCGAAGTTAATATAAAGGATTAAAAATAATTTAAATAATAATAATTATAATAATTTAATAATCAAGCTAGTTTTTTTGTAATGAAATGCATTGTACATTTTATAAAAGCATTCACGACCAACTGCCATTGTTGTTGGCCACAGTGACATGATCCACCTACAGCTGATTTGACACAGAGCTATGACTTATGAAGACATTAGTAAATGCTCAACACAAGACGGTGTGATCAAGCCAGTTCACGTGATCCGTTCGTATTGATGTCAAAGGATTCTATAATCATCAAAATATTGATATCAATATCAAATTACGCAAAACACATTCGATCGGGAAACTGAACTAAATTCCGCCCGGATTGAACCCCACAAAATTGCGCCCGCCCCTCCCCCAACAGACACGCTTACATCTTTTTTATAATGTTATTAATATATCCTGAAAGTGTCGCACAGGGGTGGTCTCCCCTTTCAACCTCCTCTAGGTTACGCCCCTGCATACGTTGACTTATTTCTATAACGGACAAATGCATCGGCGATCGCAGCTTGTTTGGCGGTCTACCTCTGACAAAAAAATCCCAAACTGTAAGGCTGCCGACCGGCAAACAATGCAAACAAGGTGAACATGTCTTTACAAAGTAAACCACAGGTACACATGGAAAAAGCCTTCGGTCTTCAATTAGTCACGATCCAGGTAATTACATGATTACACAAACTGTGCTGTCAGTGCCTCGCTGAAAACTTGACTGTTCTTTCACGGGTATAGCTGCAGAGGACGAACACACGTTAAAGAAAAGACCTACACGGTTTACCAGATTGACATTTAAGTTGGTCAAGCCAAAGAGGTTAATAAATGCCAGGCAACAAGAGGGGCAACTACCTGGCACATTGGACTGAGTTTTGAGGTCGAAACGCACAGGGGAGGGGGCAGTGTGAGTGTACATATATTATTTTCTTCTTCTTCTTCTATATCTTAAGGGCCCACGATCAATTTATTCATTATTTTGGCTCCTATGCATGTAGATGGGATTTGCAATGTTTCTGTTACTGGTGTTGATGAGGAAATCATGCACTAGGGGTTTGAAGGCTTGAGGCAATGGACACAAATTATGTGTCTAGTTTTGTCGCCTCAACCTTTTGAAAGCGCGTAGTTTGTATGAATAATTATCCCGAGCCTAAAGGGGAGTAGTATGTACATGCAAAAGTTGCTAACCCGAGAAACCTGAATGTAGAATCCCCCCCCCCCCCCCCCCCCCCAAACAAAAAAAAAAAAAAAAAAAAAAGAAAAAAAAAAGCTTTAAATGATACACATATTTTCCATGAAAAATTACGATTTTGACGACATCTGATGGCGCCAGGGGAGGGTGCCCCCACCTCAGAGATGTAGCGAGGGGGTGGCAGGGCGGGACAGATCTCCTCGGTCGCCAGCTAGTTAGGGGCGCAAAAATGTGCTTTGATATTATTTTATTGATGAAAATAATGGGTTTGAGAGTTGAAAAAAAGAAAAGAGGGCGCCTTAAAATGGATCTTGTCCCCGGGCGCAAATCTTGTCCTCGGGCGCCAAACACCCTCGCTACGCCTCTGCCCCACCTCCCACGGCCCTGGGTGTGCTGCGCGTCTGCATTCGGCATAACCTTTTGGCCGTTATTCTCATTCAGGGGAACGCTAAAAAAAAAAGGCTTTAACTCTAATTATAACCTTGCTAAAAATAACAAAATTCTGACGTCTTCCTGGTGGGACCGTCAAGCGTAATATCTATACGTTTCTCCGTCCACGGAGAAGGCCATTAGCGCCGAAATATAATCCACACCGTGACAAATTATTGTTCCTTTCCCCAACATTCTTTTGGGATGTTTTCTCTGGAAAATGTAAGGGTTTCGTAAAGTCTGTACGTCTCTCAGTAATAAGGGGACGCAACTACGAGTATGACGCAGCAGAGTCACTCTGCTGACGTGAGAGTTCCACGTAACGGCAATGAGTGTGCACCGATCACTTACGGACTTCTAAACAAGGCCACAGATAATGTAATTTTAATTCAACATTATGACGTCATCAAAAAAAATAATAGCCCCATTGACCCCGAAACTACTCCACCCCCCCCCAACCCCTTTTTTTTGTCTTCATTCCGACACCCTACAGATCTTTCCGAATTGGTTATTTCTATGTGTTATACTATTTTGTAAACGAAACATTTAATTTGACCATTATTTTATATTGTTTCTTGAATTAAAATTAAGGTTTTGAGTCGAATTTCGCTTTTTTTAAACATTTTGTTGGTGTATTGGTTTGTTAATTTAATCTCTCTTTGTGGCAGGGAAATGATCTGCAATGTGTGGACAGTCACCTCAGAAATTAACCAATCAGAGCTGACAGTTATTATCAACAGCTTGATCCTCGCCCCAAAGGATTTGTTTTTTATTGCATCGGGTGAGTGTGTGTTATTTGAGCTTATGTGCTATCAGGGCTACTGCATCAAGTGGTGAGTGTGTGTTATTTGAGCTTATGTGCTATCAGGGCTACTGCACCAAGTGGTGAGTGTGTGTTATTTGAGCTTATGTGCTATCAGGGCTACTGCACCAAGTGGTTTCCCAGTGCTGTTCTCCCCACCCCCCCCCCTTTTTTTTCGAGGCGACCCCAAGTTTCCTCCACCCCACCATAGCCCACATCCAATACAGGATCAGGCTGGGCGCCGACATGATCACAGTCAATTAGGCCACGTCGACATCATGGAACACCCGGTGCACAGCTGGCCTGTCACAGTATTTGCTTAACGCTCAGAAAAGACATGATTCGTTGATTGGGGTGCACATCAAATCGCACAGAAGCTCGTCAAAATCAGTTGAAGTTAGCAACACCAGGCCTGTAAGTTAAGGAAGGATTTAGCCCCGGACGAGCGGCCTCGCTGGTCCATGCTGCAATCCGCCATCATTGGTTTCTGCCAGCAAAATTCATTTTACGCCTCCATTCGTTGTAATTACACCTAAGCTTTAATCCAGAAAAAAAAAATTATTTTAGATTGTACAATGAATCAAACATATGCATAACGCAGCTCGATATAAGTAGAAGATTACAGTGCAAAAGTTGAAGAATATATTAGTAACCTTGAAGAATATAGTGCAAAACTTGATAAATATAGTGCAAAACTTGATAAATATAGTGCAAACCGTGAGTATAGTACAAAAACTGATGCATATAGTACAAACCGTGTAGAATATAACACAAACCGTGAAGAATATAGTACAAACCTTAAAGAATGTAGAGCAAACCTTGAGGGGAAAACACTGAGATCAAGAAATATCAACTACTGAAATATAAACCCGGAAAAAAAAAAAAAAAAAAAAAAAAAATAAAAAAAGAAAAATACTAAAAAAACAAAAGGGGAAAAACCTTAGATCAAAAAATATCAAACAATAAAATAAAAACCCGGAAAAAAAAAAAAAAAAAAAAAAGCCAGAATTTCAAACGGCATGTTCTTAAAAATCGAATTTTCTCATACCTTTAAATCAACACTCTCACACACCAATCACTAGATTAACACCCATGCAATGGGATGTGAACGTCTCTCATGGAAAAATGTCCCTACCATCACAAAGTCCACTGACTTAGTGATGATTGCTGTGTTCACACAGGAGTAAATAGTCACGTTATAACGCGTAAACATATCCATAGCATCTGAGTTGAAATACGTGGGCCTAAATTTAAAACAAAATACGTCCAACCAATATTTAATTTTTACACGAATCCTTAAAACTATTCAATTTTTTTAAAAATTATTCAGGAAACATCATTTCTAATCAACGTATTAGATTATTTATGGATTTGGAATTTTCTTTACATTTGAGTATATGATTAAAGAGCATATATTTGTGTGTTGTTTTGTCTGTAACAAGAAGGCATGTGTTATAAACTTTATTGAAATAAAACGTTTCATTTGAAGACACACGAGACGAGGTTGTGAGTTACGACTACAACATGACCAATCAGCATGACCTTTTCCCAAAGGAAGTGACCTCCAGGCGTCCCATAGTGTTGACCTGGGTACGTCCCGTGGTTCAGGATTATGACATGGAGCCGAGGAAACAGCGCCTGGCCTTCTCCTGCCTAGCGGTTGGGGGTGAGTATAAACGATGGGAGTGAGTGTAAACGATTGGAGTGAGTCAAATATGGTAGTGAGTAAAAGATGGGAGTGAGTAAAAGATAGGATTGAGTGTAAAAGATGGAAGTGAGTGTAAAAGATGGGTGTAAGTGTAAAAGATGGGAGTGAGTGTAAAAGATGGGAGTGAGTGTAAAAGATGGGAATGCGTGGAAAAGATTGGGTAAGTGTAAAAGATGGGTGTGTGTATAAAATATTGGGATTAGTGTGAGAGATAAGAGTGAGTGCAAAAAGTGGGAGTGTGATTTGAACCACTGAGAGTAATTATAATAAATACGAGTGATTGTAATAATTTAGAGTGATTGTGATAACTGAGAGTGATTGTGAAAGCTGAGAGTGGCTGTCATAATTCAGAGTGATTGTGATAATTGAAGGTGACTGTGATAACTGAGAGTGACTGTGATAACTGAGAGTGACTGTGATAACTGAGAGTGATTGTGATAACCGAGAGTGATTGTGATAACTGAGAGTTATTGCGATAACCGAGAGTGATTGTGATAACTGAGAGTGATTGTGATAACTGAGAGTGACTGTGATAACTTAGAGTGATTGTGATAACCGAGAGTGACTGTGATAACTGAGCGTGACTGAGATTACAGAGTGTGATTGCATTAACTGAGAGTGATTGGGATAACTGGGAGTGATTGTGATAACTTATTATTCTATATATGAAAGGCCCATGTTCAAGGTATTGATGATTCTGGCTCCTGTAATAACTGATAGTGACTGTGAAAAGGGGTCCCGACTAAAAAACAATTTAGAGACATTGTTCTATACATTTGAAGTTAGCAAATAAATTGATCTCGTGGTACAACTTTATGTCATTACCTGTTTTTAACCTTTTCTAAATGTTTCTGTTTCGTTTATACCCATAGGGCGTAAGCATTTTTCTTCTTAATCTGATTCTCACTAGAGCAATATCTTTAGAAATAGAACAATCAAACTGACCACAGTTTTACAAGTATAGTTCCAACCGTTTGGTTATTCTACGTAATACTGTCTGGAATGGTATATATATCACGGTTCTCAAACGGTGGGTCGCAAACCCTTTGGGCATCGAATGACCCTTACACAGGGGTCGCCCAAGGCCATCGGTCTTTATGCAGTAGCAGCGAACATAAGTTTATGGTTGAGGGTCACCACAACAACAGGAACAGGGTCGCGGCATTAGGAAGGTTGAGAACCAGTGGTCTAAATGTACTTTATTTTTGTTCTTGTAGGCACAGACCCGTCTCTGGAGGAGAAAGAGAGGGTCGTTCTCATGGGGGCCATCGTCATCTCATTTTTCACCGTCGTCGCCACGGTGCTAAGCATCACGAGGTCAACCAAGTGCAGCTGCTGCAGGTACAAAAGAGGATAGACAAGTAGTTTGCTATAGCAAGATAAGCAACACATACATATCATAACAATGCATTGAGCAACTGTTATATGTATAACTACAGAAACAATTAGTGTGTATTTTAGAACAGCAATGATTAAAACAAATAATGAGTCATCAATTAAAATAAATAAATATATGTTTGAACCCTTCATTACAGGCACGTGTGTGTATTTTTCAAGAAATTCAAGAAGCGACCAGAAGGGACAAGCGGGGACACGCCCGCGGACGAACATCTCAGATTTGATCAGTCCGACATCAGAGGCGGAGACGGTCACGAGGAGACGATCATCTTAATGGGAATGGAGGACACACGAAACAGGGCTGACACACATCTAGACTCCCTGTCCGCAGGTAGCGGAAACGATGCAAGGGACCCTAATTCATGCGAAGCAGCAACGCTTGATCGGGAAAGAAATGGACTTTTCACAAGTGAATACTCACACACTTCAGATACTGATGAAGAATATAATCATAGAGTTGAAGATTCTGAAAGAGGAACCGAGATTTGTTTCAATGCTTCCGGCAATGATCCGGAAAACTACGTCATTACTGTGCCTTCATCGGGCGTGAATAATTCGGGACACGGTTATGATCGCAATGATCCTATGAGGCCGACCGAACCGTCTCTGTCGGAGCTGCTCGGCGAACTTCCGGCTTACTCACCGACTCCCCAAGAAAACGTCGCCGCGGCGGCTCGACAGTCCCCGCTCGCGTTCATGACGTCATTGCTCCCATCACGCCTGCAACGTCATCGGAGACCCACCTCGTCGCCGACCCGTGCAGCCGTCTCCGGTGCACACCCTCTTGTTTATTTCCCATCGTCCTCTGTGCACCCAGACACAGCATTGCCGCGGTGCGGCCAGGTACATTTCACCATCGGTGGACGTCAGGTGCTGAGGGCGCCACGGCCGTTACCTCCCTCGGGGCATCACCAGCCGCTGGACTTCTCCGGTGGCACTAGACAGCAGGGACCGGACCTGGACTCGAATCTCGGCGGTTCACCTCCGCCGCCGTACAGCGAGATCTCACCACCGGCCTACAGCTCGTTGTTTCCAAACAGTTGTTGACGTCTGTCCTAGATTATAACTACACAATGGAAGCCATTATAACACTAGACTAATTTCATACGATGCAAGCCATGAAGGCATTGAGCGATTGTATTATTATTATTATATTTATACTCTAGAAGCCGCCGATTAGCAATGTTGATAGACAAAATACCAGGCTTTGAGATTTACGCGCTCGAACTTCCTGACATTGTTGTCAACGAATTTTTCACGGGCTACTTTTAACAAAATAGTTAGTTATCCGTGGTCTCAAACGTCATTTGGAGAGGTCAGAGTGGATCGGTTCCTGAGTTTATATTCAAAATACGTTATTTTAACAGTTGTTTTAAGTTGGTTTGAATGAGAGGTCGTAGCCGAGTTGCGGTAATTTGTTTGAAAGAAATTTGTTCCAGGTATAATCATTTAAGCGGAAATTTGTTCGAAAGTAAGTTTTTTCAAAAAGAAATTTAATCCAGTAAAAAAAAATGTAAGTATATTTGCCCCCATTTCTCACTCGCACCTTTCCATATAAAAGCAACACATTGAAAAAGTAAATCTGTAAACCTCACTTTAAATTTTTTTTTATTTAGAGCAAACTTCCGTTGAAACAGTTTTCCGTCAGATGTAAACTAGTTGTTTGATACCTACTAGCAGTATTAATAGGTAACAAGTAATTTCTACGTTGTAAGTTCATCCCCGGATAATTTCTGGGGCTAATACAAATCAGTATGTACAGTGATATTAAATTTAAAATTTTAAGTGTGCGAATTTTATGTGAAGTTAAATTGTACGATGGAGAGGAAGAGAGAAAGAAAGAGATAGCAAGAAATAAAGAGACAGAGGGTGGGAAGGGGGGAAATCATGTGAGAGGGAGAGAAAGGAAAATAAAGAGACTGAGAGATACTGATAGAGAAAGAGAGAATTAAAATAAGAGACACAGAGATATTTTTTTTTTAAAAGATGGATGCAGTGTAGCGTAAGTTTAAAACGACTTTACACCACTGACACAATTTAAGTGGAATCAAATTAAAAACTAATTTAAGCGCCACTCCCATTTGCTTTTGTCAACACATTTTTTAGTGTCTCGATAATTAGACATGTTTTATCTAAAGTCAGTTTCTTTGTATTATTAATACCCCACTCCAGCCCCCCCCCCCCAGGGCCATAAGGCATTCGTCTGCACCTAGCACATATCTCCCGTCAGACCAAAATGCGTCTCGCTGCTCACAATTCGTCTCACCCCCAGACTCATGTGATTCAGGTTTAAGATCCCCCACCCCACTTTTTTTTTTCTTTGCTCCATTCACACATTACGTGTTGAGGTTAAAGTCTCACATGAGCGAGGAGTTAATAAAACTTAATCAAAATCAAATTTTTCTTCATTGGCGACAATAATCATATACAAATATTTCTCCCTCTATGCCCAATTCAAGAAATAAAAAAAAAAAAAAAATACACACCATCAATTATGAAATTTCCTGTTGTCTCGGAGGCACGCACATTGTGTGATCGCGGTTGGATGGACATCTCAAGACCCCCCTCCATTTTGGCTATAAATTGACTACCGCTTTCTCTTCATATTTCAGAAGCAGGGATGCCACCGACCTTGAAGCCAGTGAACATGGGAGACAAACACATTCCTGAAGCTTTCCGAAACGTCAAACGTGTTATGGCGTCGGACTTGAACGTCAACAACATCTCAGATCAAATCTTTGGCGGAAACAACGGGGATTCGGAGCTACCTCTCTTTATCATGATTCACGTGATCGTCTACGCGATCAACACGCTCGCGAACCCCAGGGGCTCGTCGCTCAAGGACATAAGGAAAATGCTCTGCTCCGCGGGAGTCATCTCGGAGACCACCGACCTCCGTCCGGCCATGATAGCGGGGCTGAAGCTCGGGGCCATCGCCAGGCCCTTCTGGGCGGCCCAGGCCGGGGTGTACGGGAAGTACGTCGAAGGGGACGGGATCCCGATATTCACCGGGAGGAAGAGCGTGCCCAAGCAGAAGAGGCACCGGAGCAGCGCTTGGATCGCGCCCAGGTCTGAGAAGAGGAAGCGAGTGTCGGGGAAGAAGACAAAGCCCGCGAAGAAACGCGGTAGCGAGCTGAGGGCGAGGTTCATTGAAAGACGCTGGTGAAACGACGCACGCAACGGGGGAGACGCATGACCCGACCCTTGTTTGGAATGATCCCCAGGCAACATTCGGGTAAGGGCGAACGGGTTGACGATGACTCCAAGTGCAGTGTGACGCCAAGATGCGCCACTTAGGCATGGATGTATCGTCATATGATTTTCTCCGACGGCCACAAACAGGAAAATCCCAGAGAGCAAATATTTTTAAAAAAATTACTAAAAAATAAAATTATTATTTCCTTATACATTTTTTATGATATTTATTCCAAAGTCCTTTTCAGGGCCACCAACTGTAGCCCCTTTTATAAAATGGGTCAGTTCTTAGTTTGTGTTTTGGTTTGTTGGGAAGAATCTATTCCTAGCCATGTGTTGAGAAATCATTTCTCTATACAAATTAGATCAAGCATTTTAATGGCTTACGCTAGTTATAGCTAAAATTGGCGGCGGTAATGCATGGGACTTACCACCGACTAAAGTTATTTTTAAAAAAAAGTACATGCATTCAAGTAACGCACTTTATAAGAATCCCAATTAGTGCTACCCTCCTCCCAGGTACGCCCTCTTTTTGAACACCCCTTAACTATATTAATATTCTGCTGTACCCAACCCCGATTTTTTTTGCACCGAAGATGTATATTATCTTCCACCATATTTAAACTGAGACTATTTCCGTAAAACAAAATAAAATATTACACACCAAAGGCACTTGCGGTATTTTTAAAGAATCTCATTCTTTAGCGCTGTTATCGGGAATTTTATTTTGCGCGCTGTTGATCTCACCATACTTTTTCTTCATAGCTAGAGACTTAGTAATATTAATGGATGAAGTGAAGGATATTTAGCATACTCTTATTTAAGCTCAGGTCGGCGTCTCCATCAGAAAAAAGTCTTCCTCGGCTTCCCGAAGTCGATCTAATGCCTCAGGTTATCTCACCACCTCTTCGTCTTTTCACGCCTTCGCATGCCCTAGACTCAATGTTTAAGAGCTAGATGGTAATACAATCCCGCCCAATTTAAAGCCTGCTATCAAAGCGGATACAATAGAAAAATGAATGAGGAAGCTTGAATTCGAAAGACACGACATGAAGAGAAAAACGTTTCGGCTAAGAGCCTTCCTCAGCAGACAGGACAAATGAAAATGCGACAAGAAATAGAAACTAGTTTTAAAAAATCTGAAGTATTGGCCACTGTTATTTCCCGGAAGTTATCAAAGCAAAATTGTGTTGTGAACTAACATTTCTTCTTGTTCGCCCGTCAAGATCGACAAGGATCATCTAGTCAACCGGGTAAGGGGGTGTTGGGGGGTGGGGTCCACGGTGAGTGCGTAGGTGGCTTGCTAGTCCGATCCGTGCTCGGATTAGTCTCTGGCACCGCGGGCATGGAATAGTTGCTGTAGTCGGTAGTCTAAGGTTGTTTTCTCGGGCTAGCCTGCGTGTTTTAGCTGCATGCAGTAACAGTAGCATGCATTAAAAAAAAAAAATTACAAAATTGCGATGTGGGAGAAGATAGCGCTACCAGCGTTAGCAGTGAAATTTCTCCTCTAAGCTATATAAGAAGTTGTTTTACCCTGTTGAATTATAATAAATTTAACGTCATTAACTTAAAAAAATTAATCACAAAAGTTAAAAAAAAACAACAACACAAAACGACATGGAACAATATAGAAGTAATAATAATAATAAAGTTCATTTCAAAAACACGCTTCATCCCCAAAGGCTCGAAGCGCGGTACAAAGTCAACGAAATAAAAATCTATAATTTACCACATTTAAAACAAACGCAAAACTCCAAAAACTAATTACTAGCATACAATTGCAGAGTCTTTCTAGCCATTTCAACCCGGAGCAACACAGCCATTATGCACTAATTAAGAAACAACAACAAAAAAAGAAACAACTACATTATGAAAAGGCCTCATTTGATTTGATATTTTTTATTGAGCACATTTTCAGTACCTCTCTTATAAAACGAATCAAGCAACCCAACAAAGAATCCACATTTTGCATTCGTAACAAGAAAACAGGGAATGGCTTGCTGGTAACGAAATGCAACCATCTCCAGCAGAGGCAGTACATAACCAGTCTGAATGCTTTAGTAGGCCAACACCCCTGAACTTAAACTTAAAACACACCCCCCCCCCCCTTTT